GATGTTAATGTTATCTCATCTTCAGCCAGACACATCCTGGCTGGCACTGATAAATCTTGGAAATGTGAATGTCCTGCATTGTAGTTCCTAGGCTTGGCCTTTCTGATCTGCAAATTGTTGTAAGTGCAGATGCCTACATGATGTGCTCACCTTGGATCTATGGCGATAGGGGCTCCTCCCAATGCAGGGCCGTGGTAGGGACCCAAAAAAGAGTCTTTATATTCCATCATCCATCATAACAGCGGTTAACAACAAAGTGACACCCGACCCTCTTGCCTCCTGGAGTATCCCAAAAGGTTGGGGCTACTGAGGATGTTACCCCAGTTGCCTTGCAGGAGTGGAAGATGAGGAGAGAGGTTAGCAGCTAAAAAAGCCAATGCAATTTTAGGCTACACCAATAGACGTATAGTGTCTAGATCTAGGGAAGTAATAGTGCCACTCTATTCTGCTTTGGTCAGATCTCACCTGGAATAATAGTGTGCAGTTCTGGGCACCACAATTCAAAAAGGATGTTGGAAAGCTGGAGAGTGTCCAGAGGAGGGCGAGCAAAATGGTGAAGGGTCTGGAAACCATGCTTTATGAAGAGAGACTGGATATGTTTAGCCTGGAGAAGAGACTATTAAGAGCTGCTGTAATAGCCCTGTTTAAATATTTGAAGGGATGTCATATTGAGGATGAAGCAAGCTTGTCTTCTGCTTCTCCAAAGAATCGAACCTGGAGTAATGGATTCAAACTACAGGAAAAGAGATTCCGCCTAAACAGTAGGAAGAACTTCCTGAGGATAAGAGCTGTTTAGCAGTGTTGGAATGGAGTGGAGTCTCCATCTTTGGAGGTTTTAAGCAGAGGCTGGATGGTCACCTGTCACAGGGAGTGCTTGGATGATGTCTTCCTGCATGGCAGAAAGGAGTTGGGCTGGATGGCCCTTGGGGTCTCTTCTAGGATTTTTCTAGGATTTTTCTGGTTCCTCTGCCTCCCACCCCTTGCTCAGAATAGTTGCAAGCAGATTAAGGAGGAAGACAAAAGATGACAAAGCAGGATTTGTCTTGGGGGAAGCAGCAGGGAGCTGGACGAAAATGAATGGTAGAGGAAGTGCTTCTGTAATCTGATTCCAGAAATCATTGCAGCTGGGAGCTGGGCAAAGCAGGAGTGTCAGGAGAAGGCTGGGGGAAGGACAGAAAATGGCTATTCCTCCAGACCCATTTGCAGGGGCTGAGCCAGAGGCAGAACAGCTGTGGCAAAGATCTTGGCCACTACCAGGGCCAAGAGGCTGTGTCTCTTCTAGCACTTTATTTTCTTTTTTAAAAGACTTCTGCAACTCCTAGGAAAGCTAAATTTGGCAGGTTGGATACGGATACCCATGCATTCATGCAATTGTTATTTTATTTACATATTTCCTACTTTTAAAAAAATGATCCTGCCTTTCCACTTAAAAGAGCATAGTGTGTGAGGCACCTAACAAACAAGTTTAAATTGTGATAGAATTCATTGTGGCATAGTAGTTTGATGGTTGGTGTTCTTGGCCAAGTCACACTCTCTCAGCCCCAGGGAAAGGCCATGGCAAACCACCTCTGAACCAATCTTGCCAAGAAGACCCCAGGGTCACCGTAAGTCAGAAACAGCTTGAAGGCACACAACCATGAGAACAGAATTCAAAGGCATAGCTGTGTTAGGCTGGATCAGTATGCAGAAGGAGCTTGTAGCACCTTTGAGACTAAAAGCGTCCATCTTGTCTACGTTGGACGCTGAATCCAGGACCAGTCTGGAGCACTATGCCCCAGACCAACCACAACAGCAACCACACACACTGGATCAAATCTGGTGTGACACCGTGTTGTTGTGCACAAAGGGCAGCTTTTTCGGTTATGGAACTCCCCTCCATGGGAGGTTCAGTTAGCCTTCTCTCTGCTCTCTTTCTGCTGGACACTTAAGAGCTATTTATTTAGGGAGGCTTTTGATAAATGTTTAATTGTATGTTAATTGTATGGCAGAACAATGTTGAAAGTGGTGTGCTGTGCTTTTATCTTCTTCTTCTTGTTGTGTACCTTCCATTCGT